GCTTTGTACTAAGTAATATATAAATGTAACTTATTAATAACTCTTGTAAATGTGTTGTAATACTGGATAGTATTTTTGTTTTAAAGTTGATTCAATATTAAAAGAAAAAATACTATTTTTCCTCATAAATTATGAATTGATTGGCTCATTATTATTGGTAATTCTGTTCTTGAATGGGCAGTAGCTTTATTTTTCTAAATTCTTTTTTTTTTAGCTTTCTAGTAATTAGAATTTGATCTTAGGTTGACATTCCTATGAAATGGATCACTTAGCAACATTAGGTTTACCTGAATTTTTATACAGACTAATTCAGGTCAACCTATATGGAAACTTTTAGAAGAAAATTATTTCTTAATAGCTAATAGCTGACTTTTTACTTTATGATTTATGTGCTATATTGATTAAAGTTTCAAGTAAAGTTCTTTGAAGGAATTGACTTTGTTCCTTTCAAGTTTATTTCCGAAATAGTGGATTATAATGGTTCAAATGGTTTGGGTTCTGGTAAGGATACTTGCTATATAGTATTAGGAACTAGATTTTCTGAAAGAGAAAATTCTGCTTCTCTATTCACAACTCCACTTACATCCAACATTCCCCAGAATACTTCTGATACCAGATAATGTGTTTTTTCCTCCTATACTGACCAATTCTCTGACACCAGCTGGGGTATCCTACAGTTTAACTCAGTTTTGACACTAATTACTTGGAGTTGGTACAGACTCCACAGGTTAAGAGCTCGGTCCCACACGATTGTCCCCTAACCCCACTTCAGATGCCAGGCACAAGGGTTGGGTCCCCAAGTTAGTTGTCCCCAACTTTTGTCAGACTTGGCTTCAAATCAGAAGTTCCCATGACTCCCTCCTCAGATTCAATCATTTGTTAGAATGTTTCACAGAACTAAGGAAAACAGTTTACTTACTAGATTACTGGGTTATTACAAAGAATATACTGTGTAAAGGATAAAAATGAACAGCCACATGAAGGATACATAGGACTGGGCCTATATCTGGAAGGGTCCCAAGCACAGGAACTTTTATCCCTATGAAGTTTTAGAGTGTGCCGCCCTTCCGGCAAGTGAATGTGTTCTGATTCACCAACCTAGATGCTCTCTGAACTCTGTACTTTGGGGATTTTTATGGCGTTTTCATTATGTAGGCATGATTGATTAAATTGTGACCATTGGTAATTAATTCAACCTCTAGTTACCCCTCTTGGGGGTGGGAGGGGCTGAAAGTTGTAATCACCTGATAATGTTTCCCCGACAACCATTCACCCATCCACTGGTTATCTAGGGACTTTCCAAAACTCAGGTGTGGTTGAAAGGGGCTTGTTATGAATAAAAGAATTTTTTTCATTTATCCTTCTGGAGCTATTCCAGGAACAAAAATGAAATATTATGGTAAAAGATACTCCTATGCTCTAATCACTTAGGAAATTACAGGGGTTTTAGGAGCTGTGAGCCAGGAACCGTGGAGGAAGATTGAAATATATATTTCTTATAATATCACAGTGTCACATTCTGTGTTGTCACAGTAGTTAAGATCAGCTATGAAAAACATGCAAAACCTAAATTTTATCAAAAGAAGATTCCTCAGTGGTCTAGGTTTGGTAGAACCTTCAATAGTATGGTGAAAAACTATACATTTAAATTTTAAGTGTTGCTGTTGACATCTTGACTATTAATTTCTTTTTTGATACACAAGGTTTTGGGCTTGCTCCCTGCAGGGCACATACAAGAATCAACCAATGAATGCATAAATAAGTGGAACAACAAATCAATATTTCTCTCTCCCTTTCTCTCTTTCTAAAATCATTGAAAAAGACTAATAAGTTTATTTCAATGCAACAATAGTTGAGTTTCTACTATTTGCAAGGCACTTTGTTAGCTCCTGAATAATATACGGGAACTTTTATAGCTGTTTTTATTTTTTGGTTAATCCTCATCCGAGGATATTTTTCCATTGATTTTTAGAGAGAGTGGAAGGGAGAAGGAGAGACAGAGAGAAACATCCATGTGAGAGAGACACATCGATTGGTTGCCTCCTGCACACACCCCAACTAGGGTCAGGGAACTTGCAACCGAGGTATGTGCCCTTGACCGGAATTGAACGTGGGACCCTTCAGTCCGCGGGACCTTTCAGTCCACGGGCCAATGCGCCAACCATCGAGTAACACCAGCCAGGCTGTCATTTGTTTGTTCATTTTTGGAAAATTTCATGATAAAAAATTTTAAAATATTAGGGTATTACATAAAAAAGAAAGAGTTCCCAAGTAAGGAATCATTACTACCATGCTGTGTGAATATTGAGTTTATAATATTGAATAATGACACCAATGTAAAACTAATCTTTTTTGAGTTTTGTTTTTCCAGATTTTTATTCCTTATTTTGTGTGTGTGATGTGGAAGTCTCTTAATCAGCTAAGCCAAATCATCACATATTAAAGAAAAGGGATATAACATTGATTTATGCCAACATTCTTCTTGAAGAAAAAAAATTGTTGGCAAGACTCAGGTGTCATATTGTTTGAAGAATGTCTTACCGGTAACACATGGTTGTAAAAACTGGTCATACTGTACCATCTTGGATACTGTTACTCTGATGATTTAATTATTGAATTTTACTCTTACAGTTTTGAAAAGAAAACCTGAAGGATGAATTCATAGAATTGTTTGTGAGAGAGAAGTGCTCAGAAATTGTTCTTTCATCTCTTCTTTCCTCTCTCTGTCTCCTTTCCTCCTTGTCTCAAGTTTTTTCCTGGGCACCAAAAAAGTCATCTATGTGCTGCTTCCTCTAATCCAGTGGTTCTCAACCTTCTGGCCCTTTAAATACAGTTCCTCATGTTGTGACCCAGCCATAAAATTATTTTCATTGCTACTTCATAACTGTAATGTTGCTACTGTTATGAATCGTAATGTAAATATCTGATATGCAGGATGGTCTTAGGCGACCCCTGTGAAAGGGTCGTTCGACTGCCAAAGGGGTCGCGACCCACAGGTTGAGAACCACTGCTCTAATCCAATATCTCATGAAGGCTCAAGGCCTTTCAATCTGAAACTACTATGATAGGCCCTCAAGAAACATCTTTAGGATATCTCCTCTTGGAACTTCTCAGATATTTTCATTTTGGGTTAAAAATTTTTTCTATGTAAAAGAATCATTTATAAGAATATTCTGAGATCTGACCCAACTCTTGTTCTCAATGATATCATCCTCCCCATCAGCCAAGCTCAGAACCTCAGACTTAACCTGATTCAATCTTCTTAATCATTATTTATTCATTTGGTTCTGCCAATTCCTTCTTAAAAATTACTGTCACAAGTGTTCCTTCTTTTCTCTAGTCTTACTGTTACCACTTTGTTATGGAGAATGTTGAACTTGGAATTAGGAGATTTTGTCTTAACTCTGCTTCTAGCTGCTGGCCTAGCTTCTTCATCTTTAAAATGAGGAGGTTGTCTTAAGCCCCTTTTGGAGCTAACTTTCTATTACACTAACCCAAGTTCTCACCTTCTTACATTTACAGTAACCTCCTAATTGTTTTTCACACTTCTAATTTCAGTTCTTTCTACATAGATTAGTCTTCATATATAACTTTCATTGCCTTTAGAATAGACTCTTATAATATCTGGTCTCCATTTTTTTTCTCACAACATCATTTCTTTGGTTAATGGTGTTATCATTTGCACAATTAGACAAAGTGGAAACTTCATCTGTCTTCGGAATCTTTCTTTGATCTACAAAATCAAATTGGTTATCAAATCTGTCGGTTCTGACTCAGAAATGCCTTTTGAAATCCATATTTGTTCTCCTCTGTCACTCTTCTAATCTCCATATTTTCTAATCTGGACATTTGATGCAACGTACCAAATATTTTGTCTACCATCTCAGTTATCCTTCTGAGCAAATATCTGTTAATGTACCTTCTCTGTTCTAAAAACCTCTGGCTCCACATTGTTTACATATGAAGTATAAGCTTCTTTGACAGCTCACATGGTCCATTCCCTTTACTTTTCTAATCTCATCTCTTGCCCCTTGTCATCATGACTCCAGCTGCCAGCCATCTAAATACCAGTGGTTTTCTGAAGATGCCTTTTATTTTTCTCATGCTACACTTCTGCCTGGAATTCTGTATCTCCTCATCCCTTCTTTCTGGAAACTGTTCTCTTAAAGGCATTACTCATGTAGTTAATTTCCTTTCTTAAAACTCTGGAAGAAATATTAGTTTCATTCTTTCTGTTCTTGTTATGCATACCTCTTGAGTGCAGAGGGAGTCATATCAATTATTTGTCTATATTTTCCACTCACCCAGAATCTCTTTCAGCTGGATTTTGAACTTTGATATCTAGGGTAGTCTAATTTTGTTCATCCTCAGAGCTTGGCATAGTGTTGGGGCATGCACTATTGACTCAGTATTTGTTTGTTGGTTGATGTAAAATAAATCAGTAAGGTACTTCTGTTTTCGTTAGAAACAAAAATGGATTTTAACATTATTAGTTTGAAGAGACTAAAAATTTTCTCTCAGCCTTGCTTGAGCTTGAATTCCCTCATCTTTTTTTAAAAGATACTTCTAGATTTTTGTCTGTCAAAGGTTCTTGGGACCAAAGATGGCCCAGAGCTGATCTGAATACCTTATGGTGTAATTGATAGGAGCCAAAAAAAGCCCTGCATCTGTTTAGTTATGATGATAACAAATGGAGTTTTGGGCAGACCTTAACCATACTGTGCATACAGGCTGCTGCATGGTGCTTCACCTTGCTAAAAGTGACTGGGGGCTGGTCACCAAGTTTGTACGTTATTGAAAGGTATAAGACTATTTTTTTCATTAAACCAGTTCTTAAGATTTCATTTAAGACATGTTCCTACTGAACTTGCTTCTTTAGCTTGAACAATTCTTCCCTGAATTACATTTAAATAGTACCACTGAGTCTGGTAGAAATTTTAAGGCGATGATTTCTATAATTTGCACAACTGTGTGCTTTTTATTTTTTCTTCTGTCTATAGAATTGTTTGCATCAAGCGTTTTTCAGAACACAGTATCTCAGATGGAAAGGTAATCGGGTCACAGTGTCTGCCAGATTTACTTTTTTATTTTGTTGTTACATAATGTTCCTGTTGAATAATACTTTCTTTGTGACTGTTGAGAGTGAAACCTGCATGGTTTTGCTACACATTACTAACATATAGGAGAAATGTCATTAAATTAAAAAAATTTCTACATTAAATATATCTATGGTTATAGTACAAATTTATGTATTTTTAATTTTGGATTTATTTAGTAAACTCCTTTGATTATTTTCAATATGTAGGCACTCTAACTTTGCATAGTATTTAATATGTCCTAAAATTTAGAAAGCAGTTTACCTGAAGGCTTTGAAATTGCTTTGTCTGTCTTTATTATAGTAAACAATAAACTACTTTTATTTAGAAATAAAATAGCTTTAAGAAAGAACTAAGCTGCCTGTAAAAGCCAGACCATCATAACAGTATAGGTAAGGTTCACCTGCTTTTCAGCCTTGTTATGTAAAAGAAGAAATTACACCTACGGCATTTAATATTATATGTGCCTGAGACATATAAGCTGTGGGGTATGACTTGTCACTTCCATTTGAAGGAATTCCTGGAGAGGGTCACTCACATGGATTGAGAGCAATAAAGTTTCCCTGCCCCGTGTGCTAGTCATTGAAATATTTGTGGGCCTTGTGGCATGTGACCAAAGATTGGCATTGACATAGTACCATGGTAAAAGTGGGTCCCCTATGTCCCCTGGGATTCTGCCACTTGTTCATATGGGGCCATATCATCACTTACTACCTGACAGTTAACATAAGAGAAATGGTAATGATATATGTACTTTGATTCTCAATCTGAAAGTTGCAAATAATTCTTAAGTTTGCAGACCTTGGAGTATTTTATTAATTTAACAGATGGAAGTTATATTTAAATTTATTAAGTGAAATAATTGCTGGGTTTGTTCCTAGTTCCTATCCACATAATTCAGAATAAGAAGCTTATACTTCAGTCTGTTCTGCTCAAGGTTTCAAATGCCTTTGACAGTGTCAATGTAAAATTCTAAAGTCATTTAATGTGATGTGTTAATTTTGTACTTTTTGATTCACTGCAAAAATTTTATAGTTTCCATAGCAACAATAACCTATCCAGATTGTGTAATATTCTTTACAGTATTAAAAATAAAACTGTGCAATTACATGAGCTTCTGGAAGACTTCATTTAGGGAAATAGTATTGAAATACTTGTTTTAAAAAATTATGATTTCATGCTAAAATTTTGTCAGAAAGCTTATATAATTTTATTTTTATAATTTATTATACTTAAATATTCTGTAATAGATGCCTACTAGTTAATTTAATTATTAAATTATGAACTTTACATTGTAAGCACTGTGTTAAGTTCTCAGGCACAAGGGCTATCACATACATACCCACACATATACAGGGTGTCACCAAAAAATGTATATACACTTCAACAGCTGATAGCTTAATTTTGAAAATTGAATGTATTTTAATAAGCACTGCCTTTATAATTATTCAAAGTGCATGTATACATTTTCTGGGATACCCTATATTAAGGGTGGGGGGGATATTTGGCTTTAATGACATTCAGTCACCTGCTGCTTGTACTTCTTAGTGGCTTCTGAGTAGTTTGAAAAAGTCTAGTTTTATGTTTGGAGGAAATAGGACAGAGAAAAAGGAAAAATGATCACTTAAGCTTTCCATGTTTTTTACTTTGTTCTTGAAAACATACCTAAGATAGCACTTTGAAAATACTAAAGATTGTTTTAGTAGGTGACTATTTTCTGACTGTCAAATTATTTTGGCTCTTTTCTTTTTTCCTTCAATTCTTACTTAAAAGACAATGTAATGTTAGTACTAAAGCTAATTAACATAACTTTCTCCATCTTAACACAACTGCTTTTCATTAGTTATATTACCTCAACATATGTTTGGATATATGAATGTTTTTATATGGTATAATTTGTGTAATTCTCAGTAGTTAATGGTAAACATTTTTCATGTTTCTAATGACCTTCATAATTATTATTTTATTAATTGATAGCAGTCCATCCTTTTAAAATATCTGGTGTGTTTTCTTTTTATCAAAATGCTGTTTATAAAAAAAGAAAACAAAAATAAATAAGAAAGTAAAAAAAATGCTGCTTAATTATCTTTTTTAAAAAAATTAAACTGAAATAAGGTTTATTTTTTTTTTTAAACTTTACTTGTCCTAGGTTATGGACAGTAAATGACATTAATTAAATTTCTGCAATTAGTCTTTGAGTAACTTTATATAATCTTTGTTAGAGAGGCCAAAACACAAATTACTTACTTCAGTTTATGAGGCCTAATACATTGACTTTTAATTACAGTTCTTTAGATGTTGGAAGGAAACCTCTCTTTATTTCCTTTCAGAATAATTTTCAGGCCAGCTTTTAGAGTTTCATTTTTAAAAAATGTTTGTCTTTCTTTTTTACACCAGCAACCTACAGGGCTGCTGCTTGGATCTGCTTAATTATCTTGAATGCCATATACTGGAAGAGTAATGGACATAATTTTCACACTGATTGTGGGGGAAAGTAACCATAACTCAGTTATTTGCCCAAAACCTAGATGTTTGTGAAAATCTTCAAAAGGCATTAAGTTGTTTTAAATGCATATTATAAATAACCTCTTAAACTGATTTATCTGCTTATAAATGCAGAATGGGGAAAATGAGAAATAGGTAAGTAGGACAGGGTGTGGCACCACTATCATTTGGCAAAACAAAGCATCATGACATGGTGATACCTTGCTGAGGCTCTAATATAATCAAAAGACAAAATTTAGAGGGTATGGATTATACTCCTCTTATCAGAACAACCCTCAATATGAACCACATTTGTGACATTCAGCTGGGGCCTTGGTGTGGCTGATTCTGGTGTCAGCACCCTGAAGATACTGTGTGGTCCTAGCCACTAATCTGATATACTATTACTATTTTTATGAACTGTATCACTATTTTTGAACTGCTGTCTTCACTTGGTTAAGCATCCTGGTAACTACTGTGGTTCCCCACAGTCCCTAATCCTACCTCCATTATTTGGAAAATTCACTGTAACTACTGGGATTTTCCTAGAGTTCTTGAGATGGTGGTGGTTGGAGTTTCTCACCAAGTCTTTCCAAGGCTTTATGTTGAGTTAATGGGGCTTTTCAATGTTCCCTATACTATGTGAGAACTAGGGTGTCTCAGCGGGTCAATATTCTTCTATAGCTTCTCCCTCCTAATAAATGATTCTGATACGATGAAATTACTTTAAACAAATATAGGAGTTTACATATGGCGTTTATTTTTGTAGTTAATATTTATAGCAATGCTTTCATATACCAGATAATTAAAATAGGAGTAGAATTATCTTGCAGTATACTTAAGTTGATATTTATACTTATTTACTTTTTTAAAAAAATATTTTTTTGTTGATTTTAGAGAGGAAGGGAGGGGAGAGAGATAGAAGCATCAATGATGAGAGAATGATTAATAGGCTGCCTCCTGCATGCACCCTACTGGGGATTGAACCCCCAACCCAAGAATGTGTCCTCATGGGGAATCGAACCATGATCTCCTGACTCATAGGTTGACACTCAACCACTAAGCCATACCAGCGGGGCTATGCTTGTTTACTTTTTGAAACTAGTGCCTTGTTAGGTATCCTGTTCTGTTTCAATTTTGAATTTTATGTTTTGGCTCTGTCTGGTATTTTCATTGTAACATGAATTTATTTTGGTATTTTGTATTTCTATAGTTGAAGTATCAGAAATAATAAGCAGTGCATGCATGTGAGAGTGTTGACATATCACTGAGAGACTAGTGCATTTTCATTGTTTTTGTAATTATAATTTTAAATCTGAAAATGTGTAGAAAAAATAATTTTTTTGTGTTCATATGCAGAAAAGATGAAAAGGAATATGCATTGAAGCAAATTGAAGGCACAGGAATATCCATGTCGGCTTGTAGAGAGATTGCAGTAAGTGGATATAAATATTTATTCTGTTATTGATATTGGATGATGATTGATATTAATATAAAATAGTTTCATTAATGTAAACAATACATGGTTATTTCAAAGATGTTAATGATATATAAGATGAGAAAAGCTGCATAAACTTGTTGATTACTTGAAAACCATCTTTTGAATATTGATTGTCTTAATGATATTTAGGATTTATAATTTTAGAATTACTGAGTTAAATGTTGACTTAATTAATTTAAATTGTGATCTAATGTAATTAATTTAAAAAGGTTTTAAAAATATTTTTTTTCTATTGCTTTGAAAATTTCCTTTTTAAAAATGCCCCCCTTGCCCCCTGAAAGTCAAAATTGTTTGGGTATTTTTACAAATATAGGGTGTCATGGATCATTAGTGTATCTAGTTAGATTATGTACAGGGAAATTTACCATGCCATCTGTATTTATGTAGAGTTTAGTTTAAATGGAAAAATATTTTTACAGTTGATCTTAGCCAAAAGGCTCAGAAACTGTAAACATATTTTTGAAATACAATAAAAAAATGAAAATGAAAGCAGATAAAAAACTGTGTCCTTTGATCTTACTGTAAAGGTTAAATGTACAGGGATACAAAATCATGCTTTTTCTTGTAAGGCAATATTTTTGCTAATAGAAGCTGGAAGCCAACAAAGCTGAAGAAGCCTCTACTAGTATGTCTGCCAGCCAGAAAACATACTGGACAGTGTGAATCGTTTTGACAAGAAGGTGGTTTAATTTGGAAAGGCTGGAACTGCCCTGGCCAGTGTTGTTGGGTGGTTAGAGGGTTGACCTGCTCACTGAAGGGTCGCAGGTTTGATTTCAGTCAAGGTTGTTTATCTGGGTTGTAGGTTCAATCTCTGCCCTGTTGGGGCACGTGTAGGAGGCAACCAATCCATGTGTCTCTTTTACATCAGTGTTTCTCTCTCTCTCTCTCTCTCTCTCTCTCTCTTCTACTGTCTCTAAAAATCAATGGAAAAAAACAACCTTGGGTGAGGATTAACAATAACAACAAAAGAAAGAAGAAAAGGCTGGAAACTTCCCTCTACTGGTATTTGGATTTGCTCCAACAATAAAGCCTAATCTTACAAAATCTTATAAATAAAAGTAACAATATGATTGGAGAGGTCCAGATGAAGCTCTCTGAAATCTGGATGTTTTGTGACTGGGAGCAGAGCAATGAAGACCTCTTTCAGATGACATTATTCTTCCAGAATTATTCCCATTTTTTCCTTGTAGTCTCAAATCATGGTTTTAAAGGAATTGGAAGTTATGCCATTTTCTTTCCGCAAGTAACTAAATGAAATTCTGATGTTTCTTAATGAAGCTAGTTTCACTTTTTTGTCCTTTAAGAGCATGCTGATACCATCAAAGATTCTTGTTTTGTGAACCCATTTTGGAAATTGGAAAGACTGTTGAGAGATAAAACAGTGAAAAGTGGCTTGCCATTAAAACTGATGGTAACTGGTAACACATCTGGTTTTGTTGCTTTGATGAAGGAAGCTCTATAGGTCACTATGAATCATTGCTTTTACATTAGCATCATAGACTGTGCCAAAGATCATGAAAGAAGTCTTCTCCAATGTCTTAAAAGTCACTCTTTATCCCTTGAATCACTACCTTGTCAAGAGCTTTTATTGAGAAATGGGAGTAGAATATTGCAGGGAGGTTCATTGATTCTCCAAAGAACAAGTCTTGACGCACTGGGGAATTCTAATTCCATTTGCTGCTACATAACTTGGTGTGAATCAGGGTTTTCAGAACACTTGCCTATTGGATTGTTAAAGCTACTGGCATATTGTAAAAACACACAACCATTCTGCTTACTGTTCTAGCTCTTTATTCAAGAGAAACAGTAGCACCCTTCTAATAGTGGTTGATTTTTGTGAAATTGATTTTTTCTTTTAAATTTAATATCCTTTCTAATCTAAGCATCCTTTTTAAGTTGGGAGAGTTTAATCTGTTTACATTAATGTGTCTATTCATATATTTAGAATTCTATTATCTTATTTTTAAGTTATCTGTGTCTGATGCTTTGATTCTCCCCCTCCACCCCTTCTTTTCTGATTTATGAAGTATTGATTGAGTTTTCCTTATTTCCTTTTTTCCTAAACTTCTGGTTTGGAAATAACTTATATTATTTCTAGGTTAGTAATTACTCTTGCATTTTTACATACGTATTTGACTTAAATTCTCAAGTTTATCCAGCTCCCTCCATGCAAGGACCTTAGAAGTTTTTAATTCAGCTATTTTCTTTTATTTCTATTATTTTAGTTCTACCTTGTTTTCACTTAACCTCTACCCCTAGTCCCCAAGTTTGTATATTTTTAGTTTCTTAACAGTCAGCACTTATTTAGATCTACTTGATTCTTTTTTTGTGCACACTCCTTATTGAGGTATATTTTTAGTGTTTCTTTAATCAAGGGCTTGTTAAATGACAAATTTTTAAAAGTTTTTGACCAAAAATGTCTATTTTGTCCCCACTTTTGAAATACAGTTTAGCTGGATATACAATTTGAAGTTTGTTCTTCAGCACTTGGAAGATTTCTCCGTGGTCTTCTGGCCTTGGTTATTCATGATGTGATGTCTGTTGTCAGTGATGTCAGTGATGTCTTGGCTTTCCAGGAAGTCTGTGTTCTCCCTGTTTGATTTTAAGGTTTTCTCTTTGCCTGTGGTATGCTCTGCATGCTGCACAATATAAGGCCCAGGACATATAGCAAACTTCCTTTTATTTTGCCAGGCTAGTGGATAGAGTTTTTCTAGTCCTATTTTTCACTGAACTTCTTCCTGGAGGTGGGCACTGTGGAGGGGTCTTTTTTCACTACCTCAAATGTACATACCTAAGATACTATCTTCTACTTAAACAAATTGTTTTTTAATTGATTTCAGAGAGGAAGGGAGAGGGAGAGAGAGAGAGAACCATCGATGAGAGAGAATTATTGATCGGTTGCCTCCTGCATGCCCCTTACTGGGGATCAAACCCACACCCGGGCATGTGCTCTGACTGGGAATCGAACTGTGAACTCCTGGTTCATGGCTCAACCACTGAGACACACCTGACAGGCTATCTTCTATTTTTAAGTGGGAATTTTTGCTTTTACATTTAGTTTGTCATTTTTCAAATACAGTTGACATACAGTATTATATTAGTTTCAGGTATTCACCCCAGTGATTAGATATTATATAACTTACTAAGTGATCATCCTGATAATCTCATACCCATCTAACATCATACATAGTTATCAGAATATTATTCACTATATCCCCCATGCTGTACTTTATATCCCAAGTTGTTACAAAATAATCATGGGATCCCTTCACCTTTTTCAACCATCCCTACAATATCTGGCAACCATCAGAATGTTCTCTGGATCTATGATTCTGTTTCTGTTCTGCTTGTTTGTTTATTTGATATTTTAGATTCAATTATTGATATATATGTGTTTATTGCCTTTTATTCATATATTTGATTTTTGTGTTTCTTCTTAAAGAATACCGTTCAGCATTTCATGTAATACTGGTTTGGTGATGATGAACTCCTTTGGCTTTTTCTTATCTGTGAAGCTCTTTATCTGACCTTCAATTCTAAATGATAGCTTTGCTGGATATAGCAATCTTGGTTGTAGGTCCTTGCTATTCATCACTTTGAATATTTCTTTCCACTCCCTTCTGGCCTGCATATTTCTTTTGAGAAATCAGCTGACAGTTGTATGGGTATTCCTTGTAGGTAACTAACTGCTTTTCTCTTGCTGCTTTTAAGATTCTCTCTTTGTCTTTAACCCTTGGCATTTTAATTATGATGTGTCTTGGTGTGGGCCTCTTTGGGTTTCTCTTGTTTGGGACTCTCTGCGCTTCCTGGACTTGTAAGTCTACTTTTTTTCCCCAGGTAGGGGAAGTTTTCTGTCATTATTTCTTCAAATAGGTTTTCAATATCTTGCTCACTCTCTTTTCCTTCTGGCAACTGCATAATGCAAATGGTGGTACGCTTGTAGTTGTCCCAGAGGCTCCTTACACTATTTTCTTACTCTTTTTTTCTTTTTGCTCTTCTAATTGAGTGTTTTTTTGCTTTCTCATGGGATGGAGCCTGCAACTGAGGTTTGTGCCCTTGATTGGAATTGAATGCATGACACTACAGTCTGAGGGCCAGTGAGCAAAACTTGGTAGGGCTCCTGTTTCTTGTTTAACTTGGGTCTGTCAAAGCCTGTGATCTTCTTAGGCATTTCCAGATAATGTCTGACTATTCTATAAAGATTATGTAATACTTTAATGATTCTATAGAGAGACTCTTTGCCATGATTTTAGGTACTGGTTCTCAAAGTGTAGTTCCTAAATCTTCAGTACCAACATTACCTGGGATCATACAGTGCACACTGTTTATGTCATTCAGTAGATACTTTTCTTTGTCATGATTTTTAAATTAAAGTTTGATAAAGTTTTTGAACTCATGGGTGGTTCAGTGATGGATACTTTTAACAAGTAGAAATATGAGTTTTATGGCTTGGTTTATTTGTTTTTGTACAGAGAGAGTGCTTATTAAGTCTAAGGTATACTGTCAGGTTAAATACTATAAAAATGATACATATGTTGGTATATTTATTATTTCCTTATACTTGAGCATAATTTATTTTTAAAAGTTTTTAAAAGTTAAGTGTTAGATGTGGAATTAAAGAAACATTTTACATCTGTAAATTAATTACTTTTTACCCCCATAATCTGCCTAACCCAAGCTCAGAAGAGAAGTTCAGTGTTATTTACATAACTCCTTTTAGTGATCCCCATGGGTTTAAAACATAATTAGCATTGTTGCACTTCCTTCCATAGAGAAAATATATGCTGTCTTAATAAATGTAATATGCTTTTGTTCATGAAGAATATTACTTAGTACTGCCAACTGTTTTAGGATGCTAAAATAAAAATATTTACAATCCAAGAATACTTTAAAATTATTCTTGTAAAAGAAAGATGTTCCATTGTTTTTGGTTA